CCTCAATACCAGACAGCTTATATCCTGCACTTCTGCAAAAGAAAGTCCTCTGTTGGGGTGCTGGGTTAGGAGGAAGTCTAGTATTCTTATATTCAGCAGTTCAGACTAGAGTCTCTGTTTACCTGAGCTTGGAGCAGAAAGATAGAATAGTCTTGGTCCAACTACCACAGGCTTTCACCTTTTCTTTTTTTTTAACTAATTTTATAGAGTTGTTAAATAAATGTTTTCTCATTTGTCGCTCCTTTTTAGGACTCTTTCTAGAGGCTTACTATTATATTATACAGCAGTCATCAGTTTTACTGAGTGCAGCTCAGCAGAGCACTCTACACTAATATGGTGGAAGTCAATCTATTGAATTGAGATGTTTCAAAGTGAAGTCTTGTTTTAACTGCTTAATCTAGGCTTCTGGGGCCCCATTTAACATAATTATAAGCAAATAGCAGTTATTTGCTCCTTAACATTATTGTATCAGTTTTAAAGTTTAATAACATAGAGCTTCTTTTCAAATTATTCGTGTGTTATTTATAAGGAACTCTATAATACTACTGACTTGTTTTTAAATGAAAGAATGGTTTTATTTCACAGGTTTTAGAAGAACATACAAATGATAAGATTAGATGCAGAAAAACAACTGTAACAAATATAATAATTCTTTTCTCTCATATTTATTACGTTGAAGTTGACATGATATATTAGATATGCATGGCTTATATATATAATGTCAGATGATGGACCATGAGACAATTGAATTTAAAACAATGAGATATCTCCTTAGATAAGCATAATGCAAATATCAGACATAAAACAAAGACCATGGTAAGGCCACCCCTTTGATTACTCTTGAGCGCATGGAAATTGACTTTACTATTGATGAAATATTACAAAATCTTAAACCTGCTTCTATGTACTGTTAATTCATGGGTAGATTTTTAGGAATGACTAAGATTTATTGCAAAATATAAGATGAATAAAAAGTAAATTAAAATAGCTTGAGTCAATTTACATGCCAGTTTAGAAACACATTAGTTTTATTTTACATCTTTGCAAAAGACAGATGGTTATTAGCTATGCTTTAAAATGAAACTTGTATACTATCCAAGTAACAAGCAACATACCCAAGACTGCATTGGTATAATTTAACAACTGCAATTATTGGGCAAGGCAGTCTGTGAAATTAATAGTCTCTGCATGCAGAGCTTCTAAACATATACTACAGTGCTTGGCAGAGGTGTGTTAATCTTTAATTCACAATACTATCTAATAGACTCAGTCCTCCAGTTACTAACAAAATTCTTTATGCAAAATGAGGGTATTACTTCAAGAATTAATAAAGTCACTATACACCTTATTTTCTACAAGTAGGTTTGTAATCACAGGAAGAATTAAGCTTGCAACTTAATAAACATGCCAGTTTTATTGCTTCAAAAATCCAGTACTTATACAAAATGTAGTTAATTTGTAACTGTTGTTAAGCCATATAGTTGTTACACTGGTGTTGACTTTAGAAAATATTTCAGTCAGAAACTGAAATTGGATACATTCACAAGTATTCCTTGTATAATTTTCTTAAGTAACTTTTTTTGCACATTAGCACTGCTTTGTAATGGCAAAATTTTTTAAAATGTTATAAGATGAAATAATACTAGTTGACAATAATAAAGTTGTATTTTTCAACTAACTTTGAAGTGATTTACAAACACAGTTTCTTAAATCCCAACCTCTCATGTCACCTGTTGTAAAAACTGTTTTGTTTGGAAAAGATAATATCTGTATTTCAATTTTAGCAGATTACCTTAATATCATAGACGTCAGTATCCCAGTAAGAATCTTGTTTGTTGTAACTAATGAGTGCCCTCTGGAAGCTGATGGCAGACTATTACCATTATTCAAATTTATATGATCAGCCTATCCTATCTAGTCTCATTTTCAGTGATAGATAGATTAATAACACTTTCTATATTTGTGTTATTTTTAAAGGAAAATAGCAGTGCCTCGTACTATATTCTGAAGACTTGAAAGAATGACCCTATCATTCTTTTGACTCATTCTGAAATGACAACCTCATTCTTAGCTTCCACCCGGACTGTCAGCATCTTCAGTGTAAAAAAACAGAATATAACTTCAAAGTCAAACTAGACTTCGTAGAGGAAAATATAAGTGGATATAATACAAATAGTTTAAAGTAACAGAGGAAAAGAAAGTAAAACATAAAATTTGAAATTCGTTAATAATCATAAAAATAACTTATTAAACAACTTTAAAGCAATAATTATTAACAGATTGGGTAAGTAATATCCCATGTTTAAAAAGAACATTAACTTATTGTTTATTAAGAGGTGTCTTTGTGGTATCATGGGGCTGTGGATGAAATTAGGTAATTCGTGAATATACTTGTCATGGTGCCTGGCATGTAGTGAGCTTGTTTCTTTTGATTAACATGGTCTCTTACTATAAATGTAACTATTAATGGAGGAGGCAACAGAGGAGAATATCATGGGACTAGCTCCCCATGCTTTTCCCAATGGATATTTCTGTTCCATGAAAAGAAAAATATGTTAACAGAAAGTTAAATAACAATACAATAGCAAAGTAGAAAATATTAATGAGAGAAGAGAATCAAAAAAATGACACAACAGGTTATTTGAACAGTGGGTTTAAATGTAATACATTGAGAACTCAAGGGTTGGATGAAAGCCAGAAGAATAGGAATTTGTTAAGGATATTGAATTATCACCTAAGTCGTTTCCCGTGTTGACAACATTGGCAATAAGAGGTGTTTTTGTTGTTGTTGTGTTTTGTTTTTTTTTTTTTTTCTGTGACTTCATGGGCTGCAGGCATCTCTAAGTAGATGGAAGGAATACATTCCTCATGAGTGTAGGTGAGATATTCTGATGTAATTCAAAATGATCTTAGTATACGGAAACAATTTTTGTCATGTAGAAGTTGCAGATATATCTTTTTTTGAAAAATACATCTAAAGATGATTTATGTCCATTATTTGATGAAGTATGAGAATAAGTAAGATTTAGTAATACATTATAATACAGGATAATTTAAGTCTTAAAATGTAGAATCCAAAAGTCTAATCTATTTGATAGGGGGGATGCCATAGAAAAATATTTAGAGTCCAAGTCTGAGAGTAACTTAAATCAATTCTGCCTTTATTTCATTGGCCACAGGCACATGATATCATTCCAACTCAGAGCAAAGGGAGAAAGCATATGAACTCAGCGAATAATTCACAGACAGCCACTGACAAAAAGCAGAAGATATTCATGTTTAGCAAAAATACATGTAGTTACTAAGCACATAAAGATGTTTACTAGTAATCCATTAAAACAAAGTAAATCAGGAAATACATTGAAGAAGTTACTGTCATTCACTCTAAGTAGACGTGTGAAATTCATTTCAAGAAATCTACTTTTGGAGTTTTCATTCAGGAATCTTAAAATTGTTAAACATAATTAAATCTCAATAATTTCATTCAGAAAATAAGAAATGTGTTCAAATATTTATAAATAAATATATCTTTATAATACAGTTTAAAGATCTGCTTAGATTGATTTTTAGTAATGTTAGGCCTAGATGTATTATATCTTTTTACTTTTTTTGTACATTTTTACATTTTGCCAATTCAATTAGATCAGGTTATGTTATTTCAACATATTCTTAAGGAAAGAAATATAAAGCAACTGCATCAATAAGGATTAGGTTCCACTTTAAGTAAAAACAATCACAAAAGAAAAATGTCTTCAACATAGCAGAAATTGTGTTTTATGATGAAAGAGGATAAGAAAACAGGACTTTAGCTCAGTTTCATGAGAATCTCACTCAACCTCATTTGATCATATTATTTTACCATGTTCATATGCTTCAAATGTAAACTTGATCTATATCATGTCATCATAATCATATTTGAGAAGGAGTTGGTTTTGGGTGATAATTCTTCCTGGTCTAGCATTTCTGCACATGCTCTATTCAAAGAAGCCAATTTAAGAATGGTTTTACAAGTAAGCATCCTTGGAAAGACAAAACAGTCACTATCTCCAGAGAAATTTAGAGACATGTCTTCTAGCCAAAAACCTTATACCTCCTCAGAGACATTTCAGGATAGGAATGTATTTTTCCTATTTGGATAAGAGTTTTGCTTACAGTCAGGATAATAAAGTAATGTCTTTCTCTGGGGAACATTATAAGATTAGGAGTTCCCACTAGCAGAGTGTTCCTTAGCAGTGAAACACACTTGTGTGCTTAGCATCTTCCCAGATCTGGTCTGCATTGCGCTCATAGAGTGGGGCAAGTAGCACCAACATCAACCAGAAGCTAATGCTGCTTTCTGTGAACTTAATATAACCCATTTGTCTAAGTTCATTTGGACTCATTGTTTTCTTGCCAACTTCCATAAAAATTGTGGTAAGTTAGCCTAGGAGCTGTGTTGCTTCTTGGCAATTGCTTGACCACTTGACTTAGATAAAAAAAGAAGTAAAAAGGCAAAGTAGACAGCTATTCTTTTAGGAGGATTCTTAGAACCTACCATGGTGTACGTAGTAAGAATCGTTGAGGAGTGAAACAGAACCTTAAGAGTGGCCAGGAATTATAGTTTGAACTGCAGCTGTGTTACCAGCACAGTTATCAGCAGTTCTATTATAAAGGAAGGAAAGAGGATGTCATTGGATGACTAGCTGTTGTCCTATTGAAGCACTTATGCTCTAAAAAGAAATGAGACAATTGACAAGAAGACAATGCAGAGTGAAATCAAACTTTTATGAATGTAAGTATGATGTGTGTTCACACAGAAGCAAATGTGGAGTGATCTGATGAATGTAAATCAGTGTATTGGCTAAAATGGACAATTAATGATAGATATTAAGTCAAATGTTTAAAATACAGTGAAACAGTGCTTAATGACAGTGATACATTCTGAGAAAGGCATCATTAGGTGATTGGTTGTTTCACAAACCTCATACTGTATATATACACAAACCTGGTGGTCTAGCTTGCTACACGCTTAGGCTATATGGCATAGCTTACGGCTCCTAGGCTACAAACCTGTACCGCATGTTACTGTATTGAATAATTTAGGCAGTTTTAACACAATAGCAAGTGTTAGTGTTTGTGTATCCAAACACATCTAGATATAGAAAAGATACAGTAAAAGTGTCACATTATAATCTTAATGGGACCACCATCACGTATGCGGTCCGTCGACAGAAACGTCATTGTGCAGTACGTGACTGTAATATATTTTAAACTTCAGCCAGATTTTAGCACAAGTTTTGAAATAAAGAGTGAAGACACATGCTGACAAATTTGTTTAGGGTAAGAGACAAAGAAGCTGCACATTCAGCTAGTGTGTCTTCAGGGAGATATTTAGTTGACAATCAGGACAGTGAGCATTGCCAGAATATGCAGGAGTGACATATAAAAAGCGAATGTGTTAAGAATATGAGGATATTAAGGGACTACCCAAGAACTTTATCACTAGTTTTGGTATAAATTGATTTTACTTAAATGAATACTAATAAAACATAAAATCTGGTATTTGGGTAGTATGAAATAATTCAATACTCCATGGAATGACGTTTTCCCCTCTGAGGTTATTGTAATTATAAACCTGTAGTACAGTAAAGAGAGAGAGAAGTATTATAGCTCACTAAAAGATACATTTAAATACTTTAAGCAATTTCTCAGTCCATTTTGAAGAGGAAGTAAAATAAGTACTAAAACTGTCAAGCATCAGATTTAGATCTTTGGTGGTAGTGATTTTGTTTTATTTTCTGTAATTAAACCTGTTTACTCATTTTCTAAAATTCTGTGGCAGGTATAAAGGCAGTTTAAGAAAACCTAATAGTATTGAATAAATTTAGAAGGATGTAATCTTGTTATTAATTGTCATTCATTTGTTTTATTTGCATATCATGATGGCCTTATCTATTTTCCAATTAGTTTCCCCTGTTTTTAGTTATCAAGTGATTGCAACAGAAAAATCTCAATGTATTTTATTATGGGTTTGGTAAAAGTGCCCGATTTAGCAGATAATTGCACTTTTCAAGACACTTTTATAGGGTTTTATTTCATAGCCCATGAAGCTCAATATTTCGTGAATTTTATAGTCCATGAAATAAAGAGCTGGTGTAGCAATAAGTTAAACCATTTATGTTTCAAAAATGAATGTTAATTCTGAGATGCATTATGCTATAGGCCAATTGTCTAATGAGTTTGAGAGTAATTTTATTTTTATATATTTAGAGCAGACTCTTTATCATATAAACACATTTTTTTACTCAAGAAAAAGTACAAGATGAAAGAAATCAGGCAAAATGCAGAATAGATTTCTTTCCGTGATTTCAATCACTATAAAGATAGACACATCTCTCTACCCTCTAGGGTTCATTTCAGAGCTATATAACCTGAAGTGAGGTTTGAAGAAAACCTTGAACTACTATCAAATACAGACAAATGCAGGACATATCAAGAGGTAATAAAAATGCATCAATTTCAATCTATAAAATCATAGAGTATTCATTCTTAGAATGGATCTTATTTTGAATGGAAGCTAAATAGCTCTTATCCTTGTGTGAAAAGAATGAGCTTTTGTGGAAAATGCACCTTTATTTGAACATGGACACAGGTACAGCAATGCTTCCGATACTTTAAGTTGAGTGTTTCTTAATGTTAGTTCCATGGAACGTGAGAGAATAGAAAGAATTTTGTGAAAGAGAATTCTGTGATTAAAAAAGAGAGAAACACTACATTAAACCAATTTAAACATATTTTTGAGGCAGGATTTCTAAGAGATCTATAGGTACAACATTCAAGGAAAGGGTCCAACAAGGTGGTAGACATTGTATCGTTTTCCAAGCCCCTTTCACAGCGAAACAAAGATTTACAGAGCTTCACCCAAGTGTAGTTTTCCATAGAACCATTTAGTTAAAAAGTGACTTAATAATTCTACAAATTTACTCAATGTTCCAAGTGTTCAGACAAGAATTCCTCACAAACAAAAGTTATTCTCTCTTAGCCGAGTATAATTTAGGTTTGAAGGAACAGTGTTAGGGTCATGTCAAAGAAACCTGTTTTCTCTGCCATTTCTGTCCCATCACATCCATACGTAAAATCAGTCAATTATTTTAAAAATATTTTGTTGTGAGCTGTTATATACAAGGAAGTATACTGAGTACTCAAAGAGAAATAAATGCAATTTATGGCATATCAAATTTTCTGAGACTATGTCTTCTACCAATGTTCTGGTATATTTGATGTCACCCATTGGAATCACTGCAAGACAAGCAGCAATGTCAGGCTAAGGCCTTAGCACCTTTTGAATTGGCTTTACATATATTTAAAGCTCCCAGTAGTGCTAAGAGGTAACTCCTCTAACTGCCCTGTTTTGAAGTTAAGGAAGCAAGATCATGGAAGTCACATAATAAGAAAGTGGCTAAACCTAGTTTCAAACCCAGATTTCTGATGCTAGAGCTGTGTCTCTTTACCACCATATTCGCAATTTGCAGATCGTTCTGTCAACTGGTAGCATTAGTCAGGCGCTGGAACAGAAGCCAACAATTTAGGTTTCAAAAATTGTTCTTCCTTTTAATAACTGTGTAACTGTGTGCATATCACCTAACTTCTTTGAGTTCGGGTTATTCATCTATATAATTATGTTAATAATTATGTTCATTATACCTCATTATATGTCTATCTCATAAGATAGTAGATTTTAAACTTTTCTAAATAGCAAGACCTTTTTTAAAACAAATGAAATGTTATTCAGAAATTCAATTAATAAGAGATAAAAAGCAATTTGTTCTTGATGAAAAATGGATGGCAGGTAGCATTGAAAAAGAGGCTAGTTCAACTTCAAGTTTTCCCTCCTTCCTCATGGCCCTTCCCACCACAGGCTATCTTAATAACAACTTTGCATATCAATAGGGCTTAAGATACATTTTGAAATAATTTTCCATTTAAATATTATCATCGATATAAATTGCCTAACATAATAAAGTATTAAATGAATTAGTGATATTATGTTGCTAAATTACTAAGGCAAATCTGTTCCCCAAACATTTTCTAGGACAGAGTACCTTCCAAACATTATTTTGATAAAATCTAATGCCAGTAGCATAGGGCAAACACATTCATTTTTTAAAAAAACTACATTCTTAAAATGCATGGCTTTAATCATGCATGAGAATTATTTTCAGAATCCTAAACTGTCTAATAAGATTTTTGTTAATATTTGCATATTTACTGAAATTTTGAAATGATATGTATGTATAGATGTGTGTGTGTGTGTGTGTGTGTGTGTGTGTATGTGTGTGTGTGTATTTTTTTCTCTTTGAGATGGAGTCTAGCTGTGTTACCCTGGCTAGAGTGCAGTGTCATACTCCTGGCTCCAAGTAATTCTCCTGACTCAGGCTGGTCTCAAATTCCTCACCTCAACTGATCTGCTTGCCTTGGCCTCCCAAATGCTGGAATTACAAGTGAGAGCCACCGTGCAGGGCCTAAAACAATGTTCACTGTTCAGTTTTTATTTCCAAGAGTATAGAGTTTTATTAATGCAAAATGTAATCTTAATTTTTTTTGTACCAATGAGTACAGATAGAAAATAATGTTTCTAACAGAAATTTCTACTAATGTATTGTCAGTCAAAATTTAATCAAAACTTAATTTTTTTATATGTCCACCACAAACTAAACAAATTCCAAAAGTAAATAAAATGCTTAATTGGAAAATAAAATCTGGATGTTGTATATCTCTTGTTTATATTTGAAGAGGCTGAATGGAGTTCACAGTTTTATCAGAATCAATATATAGAACATAATGTAAATTTTAATACATTTCTAAGTTTTTAAATAAAAGAATATGCATTTAAAAGCGAATCCATTTTCGAGAAGAGTGAACTATGTGTACTACCTAAAATTAAGACATGAATGTGTTCAAATTATATGTATACAGTTGACCCTGAACAATACAGTTTGAATTGTGCTGGTCCACTTATTCAGGAGTTTTTTTCAGTAATACATTGGAAAAAAATTTGTAAATTTGTGACCATATAAAAATTTTGCCTAGCCTAGAAATATTTTTAAAAATTCAGAAAAATTTATGTGTGTCATGAATGCATCAAATATATATAGTTACTAGACTGTTTATATCTTTATCGGCTGTTATGTTATTGGTAAGGCTTCCAGTCAGCAGTAGTCTGTTATGTTAACAGTAAGGCTTCCAGTCAACATCAGTTAAGTTTTCTTGGGGAATCAAATATTATACATTTAATTTTGACTGTGTGTGAGGTCAGTACCTCTAATTCCTGTGCAATCCAAGGGACAACTGTAATTTACGTTATTCTCTATGAAGATTTCATTGAATACTTTAGTCCACATTTATATCTCCCTTCTTTCAATGCTATGTATAAATAACATTTATAGGAATTAATTTAGTGTATGAGCTGCTATGAAAATGTAATAGCTTTAATCTAAAAGACATGACCACCTTTCCTTCCCTGGAGACCTATTCTTCTCTACTGGAATGCTCTCCCCTTTATTCTAGTATCTGCCTTCCAGTGATACAAAAACAATTGCAAACCACAGTTACATACATGATATATATATTTGTAATGTCTGTCTTATACACACACACAAACATATATATGTACATTTATGTGAGACAGAGTAATATAAACGTATAAAATGTATAATATATATTAGAAAAACAGTAAGTCATTTTCAAATATTAATATGACTGTCCTTATATAATTTTTCAGCTTAAAAAATAGGGGCAATGGTAGCACTACAAAACTGTTAAGGGCTGTTCACTTGTGCAAGATGGGGTTAGCTATCAAAACCAATGAAAAGAACTTAAATATTGTTTACTTTCACCCCCTTCTGTCTTAGGGGAGAGGAAATGTTACTTCTTTTTCCTCTATGTAGTTTACATGGATTGGTTATTCAGTATACCCTTTGTTTGCTGTAGATTTTGAGATAAATCCAAAGATAGATAAAAGAAGTTGTATCAAATTGGAATCCTAGTGAGAATTTTTACTTCTTCCTCCCCATTATATACTCTCAGGAGACCAGAGCTTTCAAACATGTGACAACTGGGCTTCTGAATGATGACCTATGGATTTTTAGTTGATACAAATTTGCCAATAAGGACAGCAGAGCAGCTGACTGTAATAGAATGACTCATTCATACATCTGCACAGGCCCTTATCTGTACTCCTAGGGTTGCAAATGTGAAATAGGGCCAGTTTTGGCATATGATGCAAACACTCTCCCAGATACTACCGTAGGCTTACAAGGAAAAATAGAGGACTAATTAACCACTCAATTTGGAAAAAAAAAAAAAATGCTTAAACTACTCATAAAAAGAGGACAAGAATAACAGATGGCCATACTAGACCTTATTTTTCTTTGATATGGTAAACATATATATGTTTCCAGCTAAAAACAATCATTTATAAAATATAATCATAAAAACTAAGCTATATGGAAGTTCTTCCTTTAGTCTATAGCATTTTAAATGAGTTATGTGGGTTCATAAGCCAGCATACTACAAGGTTTATTTTTAAACTCAATCATACTACAACAGCTGTTCATTAATTTATCTGGTTATGTGTATCTCATATAATTTTGAGATTGCTACCTTTAAAGCCAATTTAAAAACTTTATAACCTCTTCCTCAAAAGATAACAGTGTTTATTTTAAAATGCCATATACACAACTCTTAACATATATCTGCAGATTTTTCCAAGGTGTATCCCTAAGTAACCATAGACCTATTGAATTAGAATTTCCATTGGAAGGCCTCAAAACTTTTATTTTTTAATAAATAGGTAATATATTTGCACTGAAGTTGAAATTTGGGCAATGTTCATCTAGCTAACTATTTTGAAAAATGCATAAGCAAAAGAGGACTTAAACAATTTGCTTTATTTACTGTAGTGTCACAAGTGTGTATCACAAAATCTGGCACATAGCAGATATTCTGATAGAAAAAGGTTTTTAGATGATTTGAAATAAATACAACTAGTTTTAGAAATGAGACAGAGAAAATGTTAGTCAGCATTTTAGAAATGTTTTTGATGTTTACTTTATTCTTCTTCTTTCCTCTTCAGTTAACTATATAAAATTCTGTAATTTTTGGATTATTTGTTAACTTTCCTTTAATAAACTCAATTGCTTACAGTCAGTCAGATAAAGCCTTGGCTAGCTCTGTTATAATAGTTCATTGACCTAACATCTTGAATTTTTCATAAGCCAGAATAAGTCGTGAAATACCATGTTTTACAAATACAATCATTTTTGCTAGAACTTTTTATGCATTCAAATTTCCTGAATTGTGCCAGTCCCAGTTAGGTGGCTGGTTCCATTCCAGTAACAATTAAAAATTCTTGCTATAATCCAATTTTACTGTTTAAGAAAAAGAGATTAGGAGAAAAATATTAGGTTCCTAAATACAAATATGCCGATAGAAGTCAACAAGTATAATGAAACCCAGATCTGCCTGGCTCCAGGTTCCTGTTCTTAAGTAGTGTAGTATAGTATTATCTTTATTATTAACTTTTCTTGTTTGTCAAATCAGAAAAAGTCCATATGATTACCTTACTTCAGTGTTCTGATTTGATTTTCCATAGCTTTATTAATCCCTTTATTTTAAACAGTTTATTAAGGTGTAATTGAAACATCTAAACTGCACATATTTAAAGTGTTTAATTTATGCACTGCTCTAACTATACACCCATAAACCATGGCAACAATTGAGGTAGCAAACATTTCCACTACCCTCAAACATTCTATGTGCCCCTTTATAATATTTCTATCCAGCCTTTCTCCAATCTCCTTCCTCCCCCATTCTTCCACGAAAACCTCTGAACTGCTATCTGACCATATACATTAGTTTACATTCCTAAACTTTTACAAAGAATCATACAGAATATACTGTTTTCAATTTTAATTATTTTTCTCAGCATAGTTGTTTAAAAATTCAAACATTTTATTAGTAGTATCAATAGTTTTTTCCTTCAAATTGCAGAGTAGTATTCCATTGTATGGATATACCAGCTTATTGGTTAATGAACATTTGTTTTGTTTTGTTTTTCAGAGGTTTTTTTTTGGCTATTGCAAATATAGTGGCTATAAAATATGTAAAAAAGTGTTCGTATAGACTTACTCTTTTATTTCATTTGGGGAAATATATAAGAGTAGAATGGCTGAATCATATTGTAGGTGTATGTTTATCTCCGAGAAATTGCAAAACCATTTTACAAGGTAATTACCTCAATTTGTACTGCCTCAAACAGCATATGAGTTACACACCCTTCTCCGTCATTTGTTTTCTTTTAAATAGCCATTTTTACAGATGTGCAGTATGTCTTTCTGTGTTTTTAATATACATTTCCCTAATGACCAACAATGTATAATAGATATTTATTTACCATCTATATATTATCCCCTTTGGTGGACTGCTTGTTGAAATACTTCTCTGATATTTTTATTGGATTTGTTTTATATTATTAAGTTTTGAGATTCTTTTATATTCTTTGGACAAAAGTTTTTTGTCAAGTATATGATTTGTGCATATGTTTGCCCAGTCTGCAGTTTATATCTTCATTTGCTTAACAGTGTCTGTTGAAGAGCAGATTCTTAACTTCAATTGGGTATAATTTTTAAGTCACTTTCATAGATCATATTTTTAGTGTGTATCTAGAAATTTTTTGCATAACCAAGGTTAGCAAAATTTGTTGTTATATTTTATTCTAGATATTTTACATTTTACATTTCCATTTAGATCTATGAGTTATTTTTGTTGTTGTTGTTGTTATTTAGTCTTTATTTCATAATCATAAACTTAACTCTGCAATCCAGTTACACATGGGAGGGAACAAGGAAAACATGGAACTCAAAGGAAACTGCAGTGAGAGCACAGATTCTAGAATACTTAGAGCAAATGGGGCGGAGGGGTTCTCTTCTGAGCTACAGAGGGAATGGTCTAGTGGTTAAGATAAAATGCAAGTCAAACTTATTTATTTATTTTATTTTATTTTTTTGAGACGAAGTTTCACTCATGTTACCCAGGCTGGAGTGCAATGGCGCGATCTCGGCTCACAGCAACATCCGCCTCCTGGGTTCAGGCAATTCTCCTGACTCAGCCTCCTGAGTAGCTGGGACTACAGGCACGCGCCACCATGCCCAGCTAATTTTTTGTATTTTTAGTAGATACGGGGTTTCACCATGTTGACCAGGATGGTCTCGATCTCTTGACCTCGTGATCCACCCGCCTCTGCCTCCCAAAGTGCTGGGATTACAGGCTTGAGCCACCGCGCCCGGCCAAGTCAAACTTATTAGCGTTGTCCACAGTCAGCAATGGTGATCTTCTTGCTGGTCTTGCCATTCCTAGACCCAAAGTGCTCCTCCACAATATTCATGCCTTCTTTCACCTTGTCAAAAACCACATGCTTGCCATCCAACCACTCAGTCTTGGCAGTGCAGATGAAAAACTGGGAACCATTTGTGTTGGGCTCAGCATTTGCCATGGACAAGATGCCTGGACCTGCATGCTTTAGGATGAAGTTCTCATCATCGAATTTCTCCCGGTAGATGGACTTGCCACCTGTGTCATTATGGCATGTGAAATCATCACCCTGACACATAAACCCTGGAATAATTTTGTGAAAGCAGGAACACTTATAACCAAATCCTTTCTCTCCAGTGCCCAGAGGATGAAAGTTGTCTGCTGTCTTTGGAAACTTGTCTGCAAACAGCTGGAAGGAGACGCAGCCCAAGGGCTGGCTGTGGATGGCAATGTCGAAGAACACAGTGTGGTTGACTTTGGCTGATACTGCACGGCTCCTGGCGGAGGTGGCATCTGCAAAGCCTCTGAGTTATTTTAATTGACTTATATGATGCAAATTATGTATCAAATATCTTATAATTTTGCATATGGATATTAAATCATTAAAGCATTCTATATCAAAAAGACTGTCTTTTTTTGGCTTGTTTTGCACTTTTGTAAAAAATCATTTACCATATGTAATATGGGTTTATTTTTGAATTCTGTTATGTTCTATATTTCTATTTTGAAACTATCACTTGTTTAACATAAATTTACATTATATATTTAAATTTTGTTTTAATTTATTTAGGTCTGCTGAATAATCATAAAACTTTTAGAATAAGATTTCAAATTTTTATTTTAAAAAGCCTACTGGGGTTTTGATTGGAAGTGTAGTGAATCTATAGATTGGTTTGAAAAGAATTGTCATCTTCTGATTCTTTTGATTGATGCACATGGTATCTTCTGATTCGTGAATATAATATGTTTCTCCATTTATTTAGGGTTTTTAAAAATTTTTCTCTCATAATGTTTAGAGACCCTTAACAACCTTTTAAAGATTCATTTATATTTTTTCATATTTTAATGTTATTTGAAACAATAATGTTGAAATTTTAATTTTCAATTGCTTTTTCTGGTATATAGAAATGGTTTTTATTTTTATAAGCTTCTGGCTTTTCATGGCTACAATTTCATGAAGATTGAAAGAGAGTTAATAGGCGTAGCTCTAAGTTAACAGATCCTGCTGTTCTTATAAGCTTAAGAAAAGTTTTTTGAATGAATGTGTTTAGTTTGTTCTGTGCTTCTAATTAATTTTGGGGGGTCCTGAAATGGCTGAGTTTGATATATTTGCCTTTTTTTGAGGAGCAAACTCACTGAACTTCTGTACGTCCTAAGTCCACAAACCCATGTTTATTGAGCAATTCAATTACTTGTTTTTGTAAAAAAAAAATTATTTATGTCCATACACGTTCTGAGTTCTGGTTTCTTTTTCTTTGTTTAGGGCTTCAGATTATTTAAAGTGGATTTGTCCACACTTGTCCACTGTTGATATTCTTATTTACTAGTTGGTGCCTAGAGACATTCATCATATTGTTTCCTGAGGCAATAGTCTTAAGAGGTGTCCAGGTATGGAGCTGCACTGGAAGGTAGGTAGAATGAAGATAATGTTGGACTCTGGGGCTCAAGTGATTCTCCCACCTCAGCCTCCTGAGAAGCTGGAGCTATAGGCATGCGCCACCAAGCCTGGTCCAATGACCTACAATTCCTAACATGAAAATCACTTATTAGTTAAAGAAGCCAAAGTGATCACCTCATAGTAACATTACAGGTTAATTTTAAAATTATAAAATCAAAAGCTCTATAAATGAGAAAATAAGTATTTAGTAATTTGAACAATTATTTATAAGACTAAAAATAAACTCAACGTTTAATTAAAAATACTGTTATCCATTACTTCAGACAGGTCTTTCTTCATCAAGTCATTCATCAAAGATGCTAATCAGAAGGTAAATGACCATATTAACTGCACAATTTATTCAAACATATATTTTAAAATATCAAAGATAAATAGATAAAACCTTTCTACATTTAAAAAATAATGTTTAATATATGCATTCGCTAGAGAAAATATTTGCTTATCAGCTATTTTTATGTCAAATATTAAGGACAATTTTAGTCAAATTTAATAAAAGTAATTATTAATTAAAATCACATTTTGAAGGCAGCAAAATCAACATGTTTTACACGTAAAAACAAAGATTAACAGATTTCCAAACAAAATTATTTACATATATTTGCCACTTAAAATTAGAAATTCTGTTACAAAAAGGAAAGAAATGTAAGACATACTGTTTTTTCATTAAATTATTGAATCGCTTGTCACCATAGTAACTAACAGACACATCAGGAGAAAATCATTCACATATATATTCTTGCAGGTGACTCTCATTCTCCCCATCTTTCTTTCAGCTGCCTCCATAGCTTATTATTAGAACCAAAACTAATATTAGTCGAGAAACAGGTGTTCACCTGAGAAGCATTGCTTTCAAGCAGAATTAGCTTGTAAATTGCACATAAAAATTGATCAATATGCATTTAGTCTTTAGTCTTTAATATCAGTTTCTGCCTAATTAATTGGAATAAAAATTTCTTGTTTAGCACATCTCCCTTTATATGAGAAGGAGATTTTTCTGGTCTTCCTTTCTAATAGGTAGAGGATCATATGGGATGAGTGTGAGAAAGTTCTTAGAGAAGTATATCCAGAAGACTAAGTGTTGACAGATGCATCATCTTAACTAATGGGTATAGAATAAAGTATTTCAATATGGAGCAATTTACAATTGCCTCTCTATCATTTGATGTCATTTATTATATTGTATTCTATGTTACAAAATCATACTGAAGTCAAGAATCTTCTGAGTTAGACATTTTTTCACATTTCCTGGACGAGTGTATAGTGACTCAGAAACTTATAGTAATTTGACAACTATTTACAGCTAGTAATCAGTGGGACAAGAATGCCAAACCATGCCTGTCTATTTATAAAACTAAAGATTTTTCACTACAATGAACTGTCATGTTCTTATTACACATAGAAGCCAGATGGCAAATTGGAAATACACCAGCCAGAGAAGCTATGGTAGAAATGGTAATTTTACTCCAATAACCATCACCTTCCTCCACATAGAAATATAAATATCACCCCACTCATTTTTAGCTTGACACACAGCTTGCCTTTACCGTTTGTCAGCTTTTCATGTAGTTATGACTTGTCATGTGATTAAATTTAGGGCATGAGGAATAAGCAGAAATAACGTTTGGGATTGCTGAGACTTCTCCTTACAGAGGATAATACTATCCCGATGCTTTCTATTTTTTCTTCTTCCTGGTAGTTCATATACAGATATGGAGGAAAACCAGTTTTGATCATGCAGGACTGCAACCAAAGAAATAGTATTTCCACAATATATCAGGTAACCAGGTGCCTGAATGTCCTTGTGATATGAAGCAACCTGACAATTTTGGATTGTTCTCCTCTGATCTCCCCAGAGTGAGAGAAATTACTTTCTTTCTCATTTTAGTTCTATATTTTGGGGTCTCCTTGCTAAAGAGCCTTGAGTTGTAACTTAAATAGTGGAGATATTCATTCACAGCCTGTTCTAGTTTGGTCTTTCCTAGTTATCTGATACCCAGAAGAATTTTATTCACATGATAAATTTTTAAGAAATGATTACCTATTTAACTTATTCTTATATCCTGTTTTATAATACATGACGAAAATACATGAATAATATAATTGGTAGGGTTACCCTCATGTTCATCAAAATACAAAAGATAAAGGAAGCAGCTGTAACTGAAAGCATATCCAGAGTTTCATAACAACCAAAGCTGAAAGTTTAACCATACAGATTCCTTAGCTTTCGTCGTTGAATAAAAAAAAAAAAAAAAAAAAAAAAAAAAACATGCTAGTGCATCAGAAACATCAAGCTGTTTCCTAGCTATGAATTCTAAAAAAAATCACACAGTTGTCTCTGGCAAAACAATATTGTTTATTCCAGAAACAATTGATGATTCCCTAAATGGCATTTTTTTTTAAATGCAGGGCTATTGGGTGTATGAGCATTTCCATTTTTGACTGGAGGACAAAATACTAAGATGCACTTGGGAAAAGCCATTTGTACAGTGTCCTCGAAAATTTTGCACTCTATAGAGGATAGGCCTATTTTCATGTGTATGTAGTCTTATTAAACCAAATTAATTAGCTTCTTGCAATATATTACTTCTGTTACACATGTAAATTGTTTTATAATTACATTCCCTACTCATCTTAATTGTTGGAAAATCAGGTATGTTTATAGATGTAAATATATGG